CCACACCTAGTGTTGAGTCTGCAGTGACTGTAGTTCAGCCAGAATGGCAGTCAGGTAGGAAATCTGGTTGTTAATGAGAACAAGGATAAACTAGAACCTGTGAGGATAAATTGAAATCTATGAGGACAACCAGAACCCAGGAGGACAAACAACCTGTGTCTGTCTTGCACATCTCCAATGTCAATGCTGTAGGTGACCACAGGAGAAACAAGTGCCTTGCATGACAAAACTGCACTTTCACTTGGACCTGACTTTAGAGAAGCTGAAAGAGGAAGTCTGGTGATAGCTGGGTGAGCCACGGGGTCAGGTGCTGCCTCCCCTCACCAACAAGGTGAGCCAGGAGATCAACAGTAACATGAGCAAACTACCACAGTGCCTGGAGCTCTGCACCAACTTTCTGAAGGTAAAAAATGTATGACCACAACCTCACTTCAGCCTTCTAAATCTCACAAAAAATGTGTCTTGTGGGGAGGGTATAGCCCAGTGGTAGAGTGTGTACTTAGCATACATGAGGTCCTGCATTCAATCTCCAGCACCTCTATAAAATAATAATTAACCCAATTACCTCTCCCCACAAAAAAATGTGTCTTGTAGCCAATCCTAACCCAAACCATACAGGGAAGAGATTTCTGTGAAATATATTTCCAATTTACCAAAGGTGACAGAGGACCAAGTCACCACCTCATTATAAACCAAGAAACTTAATTTCCTTTAGCTATAAACTGCAGATTACATAGATTATTGTGACGATAATAAGACTGTCAGAAAGTGTGGCAGATAGAAAATAAAATCTCACCCATTTAAATTGAAAACGTTTGCATTTTTGAAGTACCCACATTTATAATTCCAGCCTGCACATTTTCCCTTAATTTGAGTTTCCTATATCCAGTTGCCTACTTGACATCCTCTGGGATTCCTGATAGATACATTAAAATTGTGTCTAAAACTTAAACCGAACTTTTGACCTTTCTCTCACTTCTGCCTCTGAAACCACACCATCCCATCTACCACCTTCTCCATTTTGGTCAATGGCAACTCCCACCTTCTTAATGCTTGGGCCAAAAATCTTGGAGTCATCCTTGACTTCTCACTTTCTCTCATACCTCATACCCAACCCATCAGGAACCAGGAACTCCTATTGTCTCAACACTCAAAATATAACCACCTGCACCACTACCACCTTGACTTAAGCTGCCACCATTGTCGTTCTCCTGGATTATTGCCAGTGCCAGATAACTAGAGCGGTCAGATAAAATACAGGTGACCCAGTTAAATTGGAATTTCATGACAGGTAATTTTTAGTATAAGTATGTTCCATGCTGTATCCTCTGTGATGTTCTTCCCTCATCACTCTGTGTGGCAAGCTTCCTCACCTCCTTAAAGTATTTCCTCAAATGTCAGCTTTTCAGTGAGGCTTTCTCTGACCACCTTATTTTAAATTGCAGTCTCCTCCCCAATACCCTTTATCTCCCCTTCTCTACTTATTTTTTTCATAGCAATCACTGCTATCTAACATCCTAAATATTATGTTTACCATCTGTGTTCCCACATCAGAATCTAAGCTCACTGGGGGTAGGTTTTGCTTTTTGTTGTTGTCTTTTATGTTTTGTTTGTTGCTGTTATCACCAGCATTTAGAACAGTGCCTTATCCACAGTAAAACTCAATGTTTGTTGAATGTGTGAATGAATGTATGAATGAATGAATGAATGAATGAGTGAACAGACCTCTATTTGAACAAGGGTGTCCAGGCAAAATTTAACTTTTGCCCAGAACTTATTGGAGAGAGTCAGAGAGATGAGTAGCTAGTAAATGTGGGTCCTTGACAGATTCGTAGGCATTTCCAACTCATCCCGAAGAAGACTAAGAATAAGTGTTTTAAACCAGTGCTTTTCATATTTTAATGCACATATAAATCACTGGGAATCCTGTTAACATGTGGGTTTTGGTTCAGCAGGTCTGAGGTGGGTCCAGATAGTTGGCATTTCTCACAAACTCCCAGATGATGCTGATGCTGCTTTTCTGGGGACCACACTTTGAGTAGCAAGGTTTTAAGGCATCACTGAAGCCTGGCCTCTGGTGATAGAGCCAAAATGTTATCAGTCAGTAAACAGTTACTGCCAGTGGTCCAACCTAATATAGAACAGAGTAATTTATTTTGAACAGAGGCAGCTGTGACTGAACAGAGTGAAATCATGACTATTTGAAACGAGGACTTTGTCCAATCTCCATGGTCCTAAATTTAAGAATGCACTCAGCTATATCTCAGTGTGAGAGTGTTATTTTACTTGAACTGGCACAAACATGAAGAGTAACAATTACAGAGGAAAAAGGAAGGTTACCATTGCTAAATTTTAGGACTCAAAGGAATGTGATTGGTGTGGGGATTATTTCAGGCAAGCAGGCTGCTATTTTGGTGTTCCTTAAATCATGCCAAATGGGGCCTTCCTACAGACAGAAGTTCTCTTCAAAACAGGAAATTAGAGGGGGGGTGGTATAGCCCAGTGGTAGAGCACATGCTTAGCATGCATGAGGGCCTGGGCTCAGTACCCTCATTCAAAAAATTAAAAATAAATAAATTTAAAAAAATAGGAAATTAGCAACTCAGGCAGCTCCAGACCAATAACTGACCTACATACCCAAGTGGCTGTGGTTAATTTGTCTTTCTATCCCCACGCCCAGGGCAAGGAAATAACAACAGCAACCTTTTACCACTGTGTTTTTGCTGTTTTAGAAACATTACCTCCATACTACTGTCTCAAAATTTTGTAAGGTTATTATCCTCATTTTGCATTCAAAGAAACCTAAGTCAGGTTAGGTTAAGCTTTGGTTAGTTTAAGCAACTTGCCCTTGGTCACTGTGGTAGGCAGGATAATGGCCCCTCAAAGAGGCCCATGTCCTAATCCCCAGAACCTGTGAATATGTTACTTTACATGGCAAAAGGGACTCCGCTGACATGATTAAGGATCTTGAGATGGGGAAATTTTCCGGATTATCTGCATGGACCCAATGTAATCATAGGTCATTGTAAGAGGGAGGCAGTGAGGTCACAGATAATAGTAGAAAATGTGATGATGGAAACTATAGGTTGGAGTGATACGAAAAAGGGGCCATGAGCCAAGGAATGTAGGCAGCCCTTAGAAGTTGAAAAGGGCAAGGAACGCGATTCCCCCTAGAGCCTGTAGAAGGAATACAGCCCTGCTGACAACCTTGATTTTAGCCCTGAGATTTCAGACCCCTGACCTCCAGCACCATCGAATATTTGTTGTTATTTGTTATGGCAGCTATAGGAAACTAATAGCTGGTACATGGCAGAACTGTGATCTTGCAAACAGGCCTGGTGGGCTCCAAAATCAGTGCTGTTTCCACCACTGGGAATGGAGATGTGGTGCTTTTAAAGAAATGGTAGATGCAAAGGTGGAAGGTAAGAAGCTGAAAGAAACAAGAAGAGCTTAAGAGAGCTGATCCTGGGGTCTACTTGCCCCAAAATAACCTCTTCCAGATGGCCTGTTGTTTTCCATTTCAATAGTTATAAAGTTATTTGGATGTAAAAATAATCTTTTCTATTTAATATCTTTGTAATAACCTATAATGGAAAAGAATATAAATGTATAACTGAATCACAATGCTGTACACCAGAAACTAACACAACATTGTAAATCAACTATACTTCAATAAAAAAGAAAACAGTATTAAAAAGAGTAACTATAATATTAATAAATATACAATGTAAGAAGTAAATAATGACTATACTTCAATAAATAAGTAAATAAATAATCTTTTCAAGTAATTGCTAATACTTCTGACTAGATCTAAAGGTCATTGGCACTTTAGGATGGATTAAATTAATCTCGGATTGTGTCCTATCACTCGGTGATGATAACTGCAATGAAGAAATTGAAGTTTTGATTGGGTGAGGGTGAAGCAAGTCATGTTGAAGTAATGGCAGCACTTTCATTTATAGGCAGGCCTGAAGGCGAGGGAAAGGGTGCTGATAATGAAAAGCTGGGGGCACTCGAGGGCAACAGGTACAATATGCCAAAGATAACTCAGCCTGTTTCAAACTTTTCCAGTGAGAGAACTGTGTTCAGATTTCTTCAATTGCATGAGATCCTATTTATACTGGCAACTTTTTTTTCATACTGGCAACTTTACTTTAACTTGTCCTCAAGAACCTTGCCTTTCATACCTTACTCCTAATTCATTTCTACTACTGGTGGTCACCTCTGTGAAGAGGAAACTGTTAAGCAAATATGGCCGGCTGGCCCTAGCTCAATTTGTGAAAAGAGGCAGCTCTACCTCTCTCACCTCTATTTGAATCTTAGCAGGGCCTTTAAAGCCTTAACCTAGCAAGCATTCCCCAAGAGGAAGGTTTTCTGATGTTTTGTTTTGTTTTGGTCTAGAAGGTTTTGAAAGCTCACCTGGGATGTTGCTACCACTGCATGTCCTTCTCAGAGGTTAGCCAAGGTGCCAGTATAAAAGGGAGGCTGGCCATCTAAGTGGATACCTCAGTGATTTTACTCTCATGTTTCCATTTCCAATCCTGTATCATCACCCTGAATAATCCCAAGGATTTCAGAAGGAAATAAAAATTCACTTTTCCTTACAAATAGGTTTAAAACCCTTTCCTTAACTCTAAGTGTTTGGTTTGGGAATCTCATACACATTGTATAGGGCTCCCCAAATGCAAGGAAAGCTCTTGTCTCCATTTAACTCATTGGGGTAGACAATCTATAAAGAATGCTTCATAGACTATAAAAGAAAGGACAACAATTATATTCCTTTTTCTGTTTCTCATCCTCACTAAAAAATACAGCAGGTGGAGTGAAGTTTGAAGGAAAATAGATTTCTTCCATCTCACTCTTAGTGAATGCATGGTGCTGCTTCCAATCCTGCCCCATTTTTTATTAAAAAAAAATAACATCTAAAAGCACATGGTAGCTTGGAACTGCTGGTAGAGGAATTGGGTGATTTAACAAAAGAGACACTGACAAAAACACACTTTTTTTTTACAATACTATAATTATAAAGTTGAAGGCACATCCTTGGCAGAATATGATCAATTACATGCTTATGGAAAAACAAACTACTGAATATTTTGACTACAGTAGATGATTATTGCACAACATCGTCCACTGCTGTTTTGGGTATCAAACAATGTTTAACAATGGTTAGTTAGACATTTCTTTAACTAAAAGCCTAAGGTTGAGACGCCTGGTTTTGGCCACAAAAGGCATTTATTATCAATGCCATTACAGAAGCTCTTTTAATTGAAGAACAAGAATTCACGCTTTTGTGCTTTATCTGGTTATTCATGCCAGATAAACTTTCAGAAGGACTACAGAAAGTTCGGGTAAAAACAGCTAATAATTTGGCATGAATCTATATTTTTTATATTTGGTAAAATAATATTTTTAATATAGAAAAGTAAGAAACAAAAAAATCCAAAAGGAGTGATTTTAGGAATGTTTCTATTCTTACGAAAATAACCAGTAATCAGATGCCTCACCCAAAGAAAATAACAAAATAGAGCAAAATAAATATTAAGAAAAAAAATTTTAAAGCAAGAGTCACAAGTAATGGGAAAAAAAATCTCTAAGAACATACATTCTTGATTTTTAAGCTGTGTACATAAAGGATATGCTTTAAATTTTTGGAAACATCTTGTCTACACTGCTATTTTAAGCATTCTGAACAAAGAATATGTCTGATAAAAGAGTAACTTTTAAAAAGTTTAAAGCACAATATAAAATTATTTGTTCACAAGGCATCAAATCTAACACTCTAAAATGCTGATACTAAACTAGGAAAAATAACATTTCTATTTTCACAAATGACAACCATACTTCTTTAGACTATAACACTAAATAGTTACATTTTAACCTTTGAAATTTAAAAGGCATCTTTGGATATTTAAGATAAAAGGCGCCCCTTAGTTGAGTCTAAGTCAGCACTCAATACAAAAACGTTTTTGTTATCTTTCAGACTGAGGGCATGGTTGCTGACGGAATACAGAAGAGTGACAATGGAACAACAAACAAAAACCTTCAAATATAAAATTCATATATAAGTCCATTTTCCTTCTATATGGGATTTGTGTATATACGTCATGATATGAATAAACATAGACACATATGCACACATTGATCAAATTTGTTCTCACTAGTAACTCATTACTAAAAGCCAGTTACTAACTGAAAGCAATGTTTTTGATCCCCTCTATATATCACCTCTCTCTCCTGTGAATACAGCTGCTCTATGATGCTAATGGGAGTTTAGAATTGCGTAAGATTTGTGGAAGAGAATTCAAAGATGGTTATAGATATTTAAAGCAGGATTCTTCCTAAGGAGCATGTTTTCTGTTCTGGTAGTAAGGGCTGAAATTATATCCTTGATTTTTCCCAGATTATATAGGATCCTTTTCTTATTGCCCTATACCATGTGTGGTCCATTGGCATGTGGGGCCAAGAGGACAACTCTAACACACACAATAATAAAAGTAGTAACTGGCTATATTCAAGTGCTTCAGAGAAAGAGAGAGAGTGAGAATGAGGGGAAGAGGGAAGGGAAGGTAGGGAAGTGGGTAGAAAGAGAGAAAGGTATTTCTTTTTTCAGAAGTCTATATTATGCATTTGTTGTATTAGCTATTTCTTCTAGAAGAAACAAGTTGTGGTATGACAGGCCACTGGAATTAAAATAAGAAACAAATATTAAAATTCAAACTGAAAACACAGACGATGGCATAGGCATTGGTCTAAAACTGAGCCTAGACACACAAACTCATTCATATTTCATGAAAATGGGTTTACTTTTCTTTATCAAGTTTCAGTTCTCTCTTTAAGATAGTTGAGATAAAAATGACATCTTTTCCAACTCTGAAAAGTTAGCATGGAATTATGTTATAAACTTTCTTGTGTATGTATGAAAGGACAAGAGAAAAGGTAGGAGAGGAAGACACTCATCCTCCACTCCCACCTGATTTCAGACTCTGCCCTGATAAAATGATTTTTAGTATTTATTAGTGATCTCAAAGAGAAATAAGAACTATCATTTACTGAGTACAAATCTTATGTGCCAGGCATTGTGCTAGCAGCTTAATCTATGGCATGGGAACAAAATATTATGAATTTATTTATGAGTTTTCTTCACTTACATAATTCTGTACATGAAATCCATCTTACAGTTAACAAGGAAATTTAAATAGTGATACAAGCACCAGATCTCTGGCCAGTGTATTAATTCCCAGGCACTCACAGGGGAACTTCTAAATTTATATGACAAGGAGAACAAGCCCCTGAATTTGTTGACCACACTAGCTAGCAAGTGCAAATGTTTTAAATTAGAGAAAAGTATAGATTTGCCTAAAAGGTATTACAACCTAGGGAAATTTTCATTTTTGTATTACAACTGATTGTGTTTTTGGTAAGAGCAGCTTTGAGTAATAACATTATTTTAAAGTCATTTTGAGAGATTATCTAAAACACTAAAAGATAATGAAAATCTATTAAATTATAAATACCAGCTAAGGTCTTGCATCCTCTCCAAAAAAGGACAAATTTAGTGAATACAGGTAATTTTATATGACCTGTACATGTTAAAGATGGTAGTGTCAAGCTTTGAAAAAAATCAATTGTAGAAGAGGCTCACAATCTTAAGCTTCTGGACTGAGGCTGACAGACTACGCTAAGAACAACTTATAGCTGAACAACTCAGCAGGAGTGAATTGAAAGCTTGTGCAGAGCTAGGGAGTCACTGAAGGAAGAATCTGATATATTCCTTACAACAATGGGAAGATGGGAAGCATGGAACCCTATGGACCCTTATGGTCTTTTGAGCTACAAGATAAAGAAACGAACAAGATACTGGAAAAGTGTCAGTTATTCCTGTCAATGAGAAACCATTTATACTTAGCTCACTCGAAAGAAGATAACAACAACAACAACAAACAACATACTGGGGCATCTAAGAGAGCAACTGCAAAGATAAAGATGCAGGAAGAATGGAGGCAGGGTGAAGAAAGCCTGTAATAAATAAGGCACACCTATTTTGAAGTAGTTTCTACTGTTTTCCTTCTAAAACTAGATGCTTCAGTGCTTTGAAAGCCATTGCTTCCAATCTGGCAGGGCTGGGGCTCAAGAATCTCCTCAAGATTATGTGCTCAAATCTTCAAATTTTTAATTATCTTTTTCTTGAACTTTATTTTGGTCAGAAAATTATCATTTTAGCAGCAAGTCAGCAATCTTCACTTATAGGACTGGTAAACCTCACTGGTCTATCTTATCTGTTGCTAGTGAAAACAAGAAATGCTGGAAATTCATTTTCAATAAAGCTAGGTTCTGAGCTGATGCCCTGAAAAAGATATTTTTGCCATTAGACACATGCAATTCAAATAGATACCCTAACATAAGAGCATGAGATCAACATAAAATTCTGCAATATTGTAAAAAGCTAAGGTGACCATGAATGCTGTGTCAGTGCAGAACAACTTCATCAAGCAGCACTCTGCGGCCTATTACAACGCACTGTCATCATCTTCCCTGAAGTCTCCCACCAGGAGTGAGTGCTTATCAGGTTCACTGGTACCAACGCTGTTTAGTGACCGTTTATCAGACAGTAGTGAGTTTATGGAGGCTCTGCTGTAATTAACAATCCGGTCCAGCAAACCCAGTTTAGGAGAATTTCTTGAGGTATCATCTATTCCAACATGAACACTTATTTCCGAAGGGCTTTTCTGTCCCATCTGGCTTCGAGCATGCAGTTCATAATTCTCGTAAGTTGGTTTCCTGTAACTGGAAAGATGCAAAAGTACACTCGTTTGAAATAACCAAATGTGAAAGAAGCACTTGTTACATTCAAAAATGAAAAGAGATTTGCCTGGTGTGAAATGTATAAAGGTGATCCCTGCTAGGAAAGCAGCTCAAAAGGAGTTGTGTGGGGTCACGTGATCAGAAATCCTACTTCTCAGAGCCAGTGTACTAGATTTCACCCTATTCAGTGCTTGTGGTTGCTATATTTAGACTACATAAGGTGATAATTGCATAGTTAATATTTATTATTAAGAACAGTTTAGGCTTATCATTGATTGCTACAAGAATAAAATCTAGCAAGACTGACTATGGATAAAAAAAGGACTGTAAAATAGAAATGTGAGCAAACCGTCATACTTACAGTTTAAGGAAGAGAGAAGAAAGTACTACTGAAACAGATGAAGCAGCCATTGCAGCAGATCCCATCCAGGGCTGCAAAATCAAACCAATGGGCATAAAAACCCCTAGGAAACAAGTTTGGATTAATTAGAGCAGACAGTACTAAACAGGTTACCAATGTGTTCCTAATACATATACAGAAATCATTTCCTTGTTTGATATTTATTCAGCAATTTACCCTCCTGTTGGTGGAGATTTATGTCGTTGCCAATTTTCACTAATAGAATGTTGCTGTGAACATGTGAACTGTGTCTCCCAGTCCATGTGTTTGAGAATTTTGCTAGGGTACATACCTAGAAGTGAAACAGCTGAGTTGTAACACAGGCACACCTTCAACTTTAGGTAGATATCCCTCAGTTGCTCTCCAAAGTGTCTGTACCATATCCTAATCCCTCCAATAGTATATGAGGGTTCATATTCTACAACCTCATCCACTCTTGGTTTTGACAGACATTTTAAAATTCACTCATATGATGGGGATGAAGATAGACTTACTATACTTTAAATTTTTATGTGCTTATCTATATTTTCTACTTTTTCTACAGTGATCATATATTACTTGTATAATTACTTAAAAATAACTCGTTCCGTGAATTAATCTCTCTGGACTTAATTCTTTTATACTTTGTCCTCTCAGCATCTGTGTGTCCCTGTTGATAAACAGTTCTGTCATTTTTCTCATGTCATTCCATGTCTCTGTCTCTTAAACAAGAGAAAAGAAGAAAGTGATAACTATTTCTCTTATGTTATTACTAACGCCTACCAAGCCCCTAAGTAATGGGGATGATCAGATGCTTATTAAACAATCCTAAACTGCTTTTTCTTGGTCATATTCCCTTGTTCATTTTCTCTCTCTCTCTTATCTGGTACCCAAACTTAAGAAAAAAACTGCTGGCTATTAGCATATTAAGAAAAGTCTCTGTATGCAACTATGTAACAAGACAAAAACTGATACAGAGTAAGTATATCATTTTTCCTTGTTTATGTAGGTTTTAAATTTTTCAAAATACATAATTGGAGGAAAAAAATAAGGTAAAATAAAATAAACCTGTCAGAATGCATATATATTCTAGGCCATGATGAACATACTGAAAATTTAAATTATTGATTTTAATATTACCTCTTACCATACCAGCAGGCTACATAAAAAGCTGAGCTCAAAACTAATAATAAGAAGACTAAAACTTCCAATATGACAGGTCTCTAATGACTTCAGAAAAAAAGCAATACAAGTTAACTGTCACATACCAGCAGCTATGGGAATTCCAATCAGATTATAAATTAGAGCAAAGACAAAATTTATTCGAATCCTCTTGACTGTCTTCCTTGATAAGTCAATACTCGCCACAACATCCAGAAGATCATTCTGAGAACAGAAATATGTGATATTAGCAAGAGACTCTACTTATATTTGATACTATATATACTGAAGATGATGTGTACCTTAGCATAATATGTGAATTAACTACAAATTTCAGATATTGTCAAAAATTTGAGTCAGCCTTCAAAGATGTTTGTCAGGAATTTTTCTCAGGGCTCTGAAAACACTTTTAGGGTTGTATGCTGGTATAGGGACTAAATCTCATTAGAATAACGTCAGCAAGTATTTGTTGAAGATAATTTTATTGTAAGTATATTCCCAAATCTTATTCACTTTAGAAGCTTGTCATTCTTACTTGCTTCACTGAACTGAGAAGGTCTGGAAGTATTAGCAAGACCTCTCAAACTCCCATCTTGAATTCTCCCCGTTTCTATGGCTGGGAGCATGGGAATTAGAAGGACAAAATCATTGTGTTCAATATACTTTACGACACTGTCCCTGACCATGTAGATAGCAGTCTCACACTCCTCAAAGTTCAGGCCACAAGACTTACCCTTATCAAAACCACATCAGCTGCTTCAATGGCTACATCTGTGCCTGTGCCGATGGCAATCCCAACATTAGCCATCGCCAGAGCTGGGGAGTCATTTATTCCATCTCCTACCATTGCTACCTGTTTCCCTTCCTCCTGAAGTTGCTTCACCTTAGCAACCTTGTGGGAAGGTAGAACTTCAGCAAACACCTTAGTAATGCCAACCTATGTGAGGAAAAATAAACTCCATTAATTTCAAGAAATATTATTGAGTACCTGAAATATAACTCAGCAATAATGAGCCATCATTTTCCACCTATCAGATGTCCAAATTTTAAAAGACTAATAATATCCAGTGATAACAAGGGTATGGGGAGATGAGTTCTCTTATACACTGCTGGTGGGTGTGTAAATTGGTATTGTCTTTTTGGAGGGCATTTGGCAGCATCTATCAAAGTGCACAGATCATTTGGTTCAAGTAATTCCACTTCTAGTTATAGTTTGGACATATATGCGCATATATAAAAGGATGTATATCCAAGGGTGTGTATTACTGCCGTATTTGTAACAATAACATTTCCAAAACCATATAAATGCCCCATTATTAGAGGAATGGTTAAGTAAATTATGATATATTCACACCATGGAATTCAGTGCAACAATGGACAAAGCTCTGAGGCATATATGATGTTATCTAAAAAAAAAGTAAACTGCTGAACAATTTGTACAAAGTGATCCAATTTATGTTGAAAATACCAGAACTATACATTTGTATATGAACATATATGCATATGAAAAAGTATAAAGGGTAGGGCTGGACAGGGAGTTTGGGAAAAGGGTGACTTCAACTTTTTACTTTATAGCCTTCTGTATTTTCATACAAGAATCTATTTATATATTATTTGTGTTATTTAATAGAAGAGGGGAGAAGGCATTCCAAAGTAGAAAAGACCAATATGAGAAAAGTTTTAGAGGTAAGGCAAATGAGTGGGTCAGTAGCAGAAAAATGCTATCAGAGTGATGCATTAGGAAGATGGTTCCATCAGTTGTACTTGGGATGGACCAGAGAGAGATGTGCATGGAGCTACGGCAGTATTTCAGGCATGAGAGGATGAAAGCCTGGATAGGGCTGGCAGCACTGGTGAAGACTGTGAGCAACATTTCAAAAGAAGCATCAACAGAAACTGTGTATGATGTCATGCAAGCATCTCATGAACTAATAAGCAAAAAGCTTTTCATTTATAACAGTAGAGACAAACCCCAAAGTCCTTCCTGAGCAGTGTGCCAGTTCTTCTTTAAGGAACCAGCTATGGCTACTCAGGGACAATGAAAATAATAGGTAATATAATTTTTTTGGCACTTGAAGGCAAGAAAGAAAATATACATGAAGAAATAGAAGTTAACACAAACTCCCACCCCAACAACTAAGTAAACCCATTACCTGAGAAGCAATAGATCTAGCTGTTTTACTGTTGTCTCCAGTCATCAGAACTACTTCTAAGCCCATAGACTTCAGAATATGGACAGCCAATTCTGCTTCAGGCTTCACTGTATCAGCAATAGCTATCAAGCCGCACAGCTCATCTAATATAGGAACACCAGAAAACAGAATTTGGAATATGGTGAAAGCAGAATAATATTCTGACTTAAAATTTCAGAAAGAAATGAATTTTAAGTGAAGTTGTTCAGGAGTTGGCTTAACTCAAAATATCCCCAAAATCACATGAACTTTATACCACAAACCCTGCTGCAAACCTCCATATTTAGTTGTGAAAATTTCACAGAGTGAGGTAGGGATTACTAACGAAGGTAATAATAAGAAAACAAAAAGAGAGACTTTACTGGATATTAAAAGACCCATTTTCTTTCTTTCTTTCTTTCTTTCTTTCTTTCTTTCTTTCTTTCTTTCTTTCTTTCTTTCTTTCTTTCTTTCTTTCTTTCTTTCTTTCTTCCTTCCTTCCTTCCTTCCTTCCTTCCTTCCTTCCTTCCTTCCTTTCGTTCTTTCTTTCTTTCTTTC